GGCGGGGGCGGGAGCTGGCGCAGGTAGATAAAGCCGGGGAGAACAGGAATCCCCGGTCCGGCGGGAGGGTGGCGGGACGCGGCGGGCGCCTGCAGGTAGGAGCGGGGCCGGGGTGGGGGCCCCCCGCGCTGTTGGGCCACCAGCCATCCCAGGACGGTGGCCCCATCCCACCGGCGTGACCCCAGACCCCTGGTTTTGCCCCCCCCCAACCCCTTCCCTCCCACCTTCCTCCCGGCTCTTCCTCCTCCTCTGCCGTCCCGGCACGGCCTCGCCGTCGCCCCGCAGCCTCTCAACCCCCGGCCCCCCAGCCCCCCGTGGCCTGGGGAGCCCTGTCCCACCACCCCGGAACCCACCGGGAGGCCTGCCCACAGCTGGGGGGCCTGGGACCCCATCTCATAGCCCTGGTAGCCCTGGGACCCCATCCCTTAGCCCTGGTGGCCCTGGAAACCCTGTCCTACAGCTCTGGTGGCCCTGGGGACCCTGCTCTATAGCCCTGGTGGTCCCAGTCTGCCTTCCCTATAGCCCTGGTGGCCCCGGGACCCCTTCCCTATAGCCCTTGTAGCCCTGGGACCCTTCCCATAGACTTGGTGGCCCTGGTCCCCCTGCTCTACAGCCCTGGTGGCCCCAGTCCCCCTTCCCTATAGCCCTGGTGGCCCTGGGACCCTGTCCCATAGCTCTGGTGGCCCCAGTGCCCCTTCCCTATAGCCCTGGTGACCCTGGGACCCCATCCCCTAACTTCAACATCCCCCAGTCCCCCTGCCCCACAGTCCTGCCAGTCCTGGGATGCCATCCCTCAGCGTTGGTGGCCCTGGAACCCTGTCCCTTAGCGTTGGCAGTCCTGGTACCCTGTCCCTTAACCCTGGTGGCCCTGGGATCCTGTCCCTTGATGTTGGTGGCCCTGTGACCCTGTTCCCTAAACCCAATGACCCTGGTCCCCCTGCTCCATGACCCTGGTGGCCCTGGGGCCCAACCCTCTACTTCTGACACCCTCCAGTCCCCTGCCCCATAACCCTGGTGGCCCTGGTCCCCTTGTCCCACAGCCCCAAGGCCCTGGTCCCTCTGTTTGTCCCAGACCCCAGGGACACCCTGTGTCCCCCCACCATCATCACCACCCCGTCAGAGCCCCATCACGGCCACCAGGACAGGGCTGGCACCGGGGTGACCTGAGGCCACAGTGATGGGCTGCCAGGTTGGTGGCAGGGCTGTGCCACCGTCCCAGGCCCCATGGGGTCCCCATCACGTCCCCCATCACCCCCTCTGGAGTCCCCTGCGTGGCTTGGGGTGCACCGTGTCCCACCACGGGCAGCATCACCTCACGTGACCCCGGCTGTCCCCTGTCCCCGGGCTCACCCCAGGGACCAGCCAGGTTGGGGGGGGACCCCAATCCAGCCCCCCAAGCGCAGCCAGGGCCGGGGAGGGGGGGCTGGAGCGGAGGGTCCGTACCGGGGAGGGCCGGGGACGTGGTGGGGACAGGGATCAGACGGGGATGGTGGTGGCAGCCGTGAGATGGCATCAGGCGTGGACTTGGACCCTGAGGTGCCAGGAGGCGGGTGCCAGGGACAGGGACGGGCAGTGGGTGAACGATTAACCCGGTGCCGTGCGGTGCCCCAGGAATGGCGGGGCCTGGCGTGTGTGTGCCCGTGGCTACCGAGTGCCACCGGCACCGCCGTGGGCACCACGCGTGGGTTACGTGTGCCGCGTGCCGGATGGTCCCTTGCCTGGCCCAGGCGACCAGCGATGGGGTCAACTGTGCCATGCCATG